ACGGGACAGGGACTATAGCACTGCAGCCCCGTTGTTCACCAATTTGCTTGAGCGGGCACCAGTACTGTCTCCATTTGTCCCTGTCATGTGCTAGTATAGCCCAATAGCATCTGCTCACTCCAGGAACACTGTTTTTGGCATATCGAATATGCCACGGGGAGCTTACCAGGCTCTGCCATGAGGGCAGAGACGTCAGGATACTCTCGGTAGCTTGCCGGGTTCTCCAAGAGGGGCGGAGGAATTGAACCCGGGTCAGCCACGTGCAAGGCAAATGCCCTACCCACTATGCTATCGCTCCAGTCTGGGACAGAAACAAGAATTTCAAATAGGCTGAACCTGAGCTCTTCCTACATGTGGAAGATATAAGTGAAGTGTCAGCACAGAACCTGCGAATGTTGTTTACCTGGGACTTCTCCGTGGCACCCAGATCCCCAGTTATTCCTGTCATTGCTAATAAACTCTGCCCTTTATTTCATGTGCTTTCTATCAATCTGGGGACATTCCAGAATGCTTGGGTTGATTGTCATTTTAGAAAGATGATATGGGATGCTGACCCATGACTCCCTCGTCTGCCAGAAGAAGGGGATGATATCTATTCTTCTTCAGGGTGAGAAATTTTTCTCCTGCCAGATTGCAGTCACCTCATCAGCGGACCTGATGTTCACAGCATGTGGGTTTGGGAGGATCCACACTCCCCAAACGCATGTTCCAGAATTGCTTTCCAAGGCTTCACTTTGAAATATTCCCAACCACAGGTCTCATAGACCAAGAGACATCTGTCGATTTGACTAGGTTCTTGAACCACGTGCTGTTCAACACAAATAGAATAAAATCTGTCTGGTGGGCTTGAATTTTGTTTTCCTACCTAATGTAGACTGAGAGCTGGCAGCCTAAGAGAATGGATAAAATAGTGTATGAGCAAAAACAAAATTGGTGTGTATCTCAGAGAGCAATTTCATTTATACCTTATATTAATGCTGGGACATTAAACTAGGTAAACAGGAAGAAGTGGAAGTGTGAAGCTGGCTAATTCCAAAGAGTTGCAAAATGGAATCCAAATGACTTACTAACTCTGTTTGGTGGAAATAAAACTAATGACAAAAAAAAAATAGGACTTTTTGTACTAGTACCTGCTTGATTAGATCTTAACACTTAAACTTCCCTTGGAAGTTCCAATAATAAGAAGAATGTGTAAGAAGTTTGAAAATTAAAAAAATTAGGCTTAGTGGGCTGGAGAGATAGCACAGCGGGTAGGGCATTTGCCTTGCATGCGGCTGATCCAGGTTCGATTCCCAGCATCCCATACGGTCCCCTGAGCACTGCCAGGAGTAATTCCTGAATGCAGAGTCAGGAGTAACTCCTGAGCATCGCCAGGTGTGACCCAAAAAGCAAAAAGAATTAGGCTTAGTAAGGGGGATCCTTTTATTGCACAGCGAGCTAAACCAAGATACAATTTAGTCCAGGTCACCCAGCATGGTGTTAAAACTGAGCCTAGACTACAGGCTTCTAGACCTCCACATCACTGCCTTGTGTTTGATTGGTTGTGTTATGTTCAGATGCTAAACCCAAACCTGATGGGTGAAGATGAGACTGAGATGGTATGTGGTACCAGCAGGCTTCCTCAGACTTCCCTTCATTTCTTTCTGGGTCTGCAAATTCACATACACCTTCCTCATTGTTGGTACTCATCTCTTTTTTTCCACTCCTCTATGTCTTTCTTCTTAACTCTTTCACCCTCACTACCCAAAGGGCTGTACTGGGGTGGACCAAGTTGGCACCAAGGATTGGGCAAAAAGCAGAAAATGGAAGACTACACTGCATCATAGACAGAAAAGCAAGTACACCTCTGCAGAGATGTCCTGCTTCTAACATGTTGGTGTTCCAACCTCCATGCCAGAAGGCATGACCCCAGAGCCAGAGTGCTATATCTGACAGCTCACATCCCTTCCCAGTGCTCTGCTACAGATATCTAGTCTTCCAAAAACCACGAAACCCGGTGTATCAGGAGGGAAGTCCTTGTCTGTTCACGTTTGTTTGCAGGATCTGTTTGTAAAGACAATCTCCAATTTCCTATTCTAAACTTTACAGCTGGTCTTAGCAGCAAGTGAGCCTTCTGATTTGGGGGCAGGAAAGTGTGTGTGTGAGAGAGAATAAAACAACATCCCTGTTTACCTGTTTTAGAGCAAGGGTTACAACAACTGAAGTGCCCCTTTGCCAAGTCGAAGTGTAAGCATTTTGAATAATATAGCCAAAGAGCACAGAGATGCAGTTCTATGTCATGTCCTAGCAATCTGAGTGAATTCTGATTATATGTTTTAGTGGAAGACTGTTGTGAAGGTAGCTTTGATCAGAACCTTAGGAACCAAGTATATCATATACAGACCCCTGAAAGAGGAAGCATACTTATGGTTCAATGTATTGCTTTATTATGTGAACAAACACAAACAAAATATCTTTAGTGTGTTTACTTGATTCTAGAAACATCATATTCCCCATGTGACACATGGAACATGTAGTGTCAGGTACGGATTTGGGTGTACTGAAAGTGGAAGGAAACAGTTATTTAAGGTGTGGCATATTTTTCTGAGGTGACTAATTCAGACATCCCCAATACATGTAAAATTTCACATAAAAGAAACCACAGATATAATTTTATTTCCAATAGAAATACTTATAACCAATATGTATGTTTTCCATTGTTTCTAGTTATAAATATGCTTGTTCTGATATGTTTTAAGAGTTGATCACTTTTTAAAAGCATGCAATTGATTCTAGTATTTCAGAGTATGTCTAACCTTTGGAATTTTTCATGGTATTCATTTTACCAAATAAGAAAGGGACATCCAAATTACAAAAGAGACTTAGCAGGTAGGGCATTTGCTTTGCACATGGCCGACCGGGGTTCAATTCCTCCATCCCTCTCAGAGAGTCCAGCAAGCTACTGAGTATCCCGCCTGCATGACAAAGTCTGACAAGTTCCCGGTGATGTATTCAATATGCCAAAAACAGTAACAATAAGTCTCACAATGGAGACATTACTGGTGCCCTCTCAAGCAAATCAATGAACAATGGGAGGACAGTGCTACAGTTTTGAGAAGGAGTCCTTCAGAATTTGGGCACTATTCCATGTTATCACCCTTTAGGGCATAGGTCAATGTTATCTTTATTTAACCCAAATAATCACACACAAAAGACTCCCAAGAAAGTTCTAGCATGGTAGTAGAGTGGGCAGGGCACTTGCCTTACGCACTGCTCTCAGCACTCTGTTATGTTATGTTCCTGTCATTGTAAATTCTCCTTTTTTCTTTGAAATATGAGGGCTGGAGCGATAGCACAGCGGTAGGGTGTTCGCCTTACAAGCGGCCAACATGGCCGACCCGAGTTCGATTCCTTCACCCCTCTCGGAGAGCCCGGCAAGCTACCGAGAGTATTCGATATGCCAGACACAGTAACAACAAAGTCTCCAATGGAGACGTTACTGGGCCCGCTCGAGCAAATCGACGATCAACGGGAGGGCCTTTCTTTGAAATATAGTGAAATATTATTCTTTCTGTGAGTGGAGGAGTGGAGAGGTAGCTTTGGCCATCCCTGGAGTATTCAAGGGCTACTTTTTGGACTGGTATTAGGGAATGTGATCCCTGGCAGCACTCAAGGGACCATATTTGCTGCCAGGGATTTGAACTACCCACAGTCTCGTGCAAGACAAGTCTTTTACCTTCTATTCTAACTCTCTGGCCAGTAAAATATTCTTTTCCTCTAGATGCCTTTTGCATATATTTCAGCATCTCTTCTTCCTAGGTAGTTGCTAGTTCCTTTGATTGGGCATCCTGTTTTTCAAGATGCAATTTCAGGACATATTGTTTACATAGTATTTGTAACAGTTAGATATCATTCTTTAAAAAAAAAATTGGGCCACATCCGGGGGTGCTCAGGGTTCAGTCCTGATTCTGAGCTCAGGGAGAACTCTTGGAGGGCTCAGAGGACCATACAGGGTGCTGAGGATCAAATATGAGTCAGTCTTGTATAAAGCAAGCACCATATCTTCTGTACTATCAATCTGGCCCATAGTTATAGGATTTTCAGGAAGCAAAGAAGTGATTAGCAAATTATTTCTGAAAAGTTGCCTTTTCTTAAAGAAAGATCTTGAGTTTCTGCTGTAAGACCTTCCATGTTTTTGGCCTGTTTCAGTGTGATTTAGTGATGTCTGCTAATAGCAATATGTTCATCTTATATAAGACATAGGTGGGGGTGATGGAACTGAAATGGATACTGCTTTGCATATTTAAACTTGTGTTCTCTTTCTCACCAATGGAGATGCATCTTCTCTGAGGAGGTCATATGTATGAAGGCATTATTTTATATTTAGACTATATAAATCAAAATCGATCCAACAATCTTTCACAACAAATATATTATTTCTCTTTCAAATATTGACATTTTATACAGGATGCCTGTACATATTCTTTTAGAATTCATAGTATATATTCTAAAGGTGCTTAATACATTGAATTAGTGTGGTCAACCACATTTTATGCAAGTATTCATGCACCATCATCCTTAGTTTTATTAGGACCTCCATGTTGTACAGCCTAGAAGTAATGAAGAGGGAGGAGATGAGACTAAATTGGAATGGTAACTAGGTAAATGGAAACTGAACTTCTTTGTCATCTCATTTCATTAGCAGATTTTAACAGTTGTGAGAAATGGTGTGTGTACTTTTCTCCTGCCAGCATTTGTATGGATGGCATGCATCTAACAGTCTTGATCAAGGACTGCTACTACTTTGATCCTCAAAGAGAGTAACACCTCTCTCTCTCTCCTTCTCTCTGTCTCTCTCCTCCTTCTCCCACTCTCTTCCTCCCCCACCTCTCTCCTCTCCTTCCCTCCATACTTCCCCCTTTCTCCCTCATTATCTTTCTCCCTCTCTATCCCATATGTCTCTCCTCTCCTCTCTCCCTGCCCCACTCCTTTCTTCTCCCTTTTTTTTCCTCTCTCTGCAGTGTATATGGCTGCCCCTTGGCCAAAAAAAGAAAAACGCAAGATAAACAGCCCCAAGAACCTGCTCCCAAACGGAAAGCTTTTGCAGTGAAAGCTGACAGCTCCTCAGTGGATGAATGCTATGAAAGTGATGGCACTGAGGACATGGATGAGAAGGATGAAGAGGAAGAAGAGGAGGAGGAGGAGTACTCCGAGGATGATGATGAGCAGAGGGATGAGGATGACGAAGATGAGGAGGTGGACCGAGAGGAAGAGGAGGAGCTGGAGGAGGATGATGAGGATGACGATGAAGATGGAGAGGATGTAGAGGATGAGGAGGAGGAAGAAGAGGAGGAGGAGGAAGAAGAAGAGGAGGAAGAAGAAGAAAATGGTAATCTTTAAAATATTTGCAAAGTATCAACGGTGATATGGGCTAGTTTTTCAATGAGCATTGCCGGTGTGAATATTCTTGACACATTTTACTTGACATATAAATAACTTGGCCTGGTTAGTGCTGAAAAGAAAAACTGATTATGTGTCTTGTCAATTTTTGTTTTAAATATTTCCTTTAAATTGTGTTAGATATTAATTTTTAATATATCAAGTTACTATACAGATTGGTTATCATAAAAGTGCTCTGAGATATTTCTGGTGTACACAAATTTGCTTCACTTAGCAACATTTATCCAGGAAGTTAGGATAGTACACCTAGTCTTTCATTTTGAATCTTCTTGGATGCTCCAGGAGATGCTGTTATGAACCAAAATGGTACTGTAGGGATGAATTAACCCACCTGCCTTCCAGCTTAGGAGTTTTGTGTGACCCTTGGGATACTACTGGTGAGGCAGATTTTGTCTGTCAATAGCAAAGTTTTACTTGGGGACCATCAAGTAGAAGGAAGGGAAGGATTACTGCTAAAGCGAAGTAATTAATTGACCCATCATCTGCTTCCATAGTCAAAGACCTCATTTCTATTCTGGGGCATCTAGCTTTTGTCAGTGAGACATACAAGTTGAAAGTTCTGTGGACACAAGGCAACAGATATGTTTTAGGCACTAAATTTATTATGACTTCAACTTTATATGCCGTTTCTTTTAGTGTCAAACTCAAAAATATGACTTTAAAGCTAATCATTTCATTAGTCATTTCTTTTCTAGAAAGAAGTGGGAATTTTCTAAAGCATCTAGTTATAGTCTATTACAGGCTTAGAGTTTGCCTCCAAGAAATATCAAAACACGTTTAAAAAGTGAAGGGAAAATTTCTTTCTTACTCTTCTTCCTTGGGCTCAAACAAAGCTCTTGAAGAATCTGAATTCCGGGAGAGCTACTTTCTCAGTACAAAGGACAGTTGTTTCAGCCAGTGGAGACAGCTTTTGTAGATCAGGTAGGTGTTGAGTTGGTTGTTGTTAACCCCATGTGGCGGGTATAAATTAACATTCCTCCTTCAGAAGGCATAACAGTTTGTTCCTGAAAACCTGAATTATATTAACTAATCCTAGTGGCAAAGTTCTGTAAGGTATTAGTTTACAATTTACAATCATTTACATAGCTATACAAATATATCTCTATATATACATGCACATACATATATGTGCACACATAAATTTTATACATTAAAGTTTAGTCCCAAAAATGTGTTTTCTTGTTTCTCTTGATATAACAAGAGCTTGGCATTGAGGCAGTTCAAGTCGAGTACCAGAACACATATAGGTACAAATATCACAAACTTATAAACATAAAAACTTGAATTAGTCATTGTCACTACTGAGTCATAATGAGGATAAAAATAGTAGCCCTATGAAATAAAATATTTATAAATATGGAAAGTAGACCAGTTTTGAAAATTGTGCCTTGCACTATAAGAAATGTGTGCAATATAAGGAGGAATCATTAATTATTGAGACTGATTTATAGATTGACCATAACATACTATAAAAATGATACTGCTCTTCCACATTCTCGCTCTATGTTTAGGAAACAGCAGACAGTAAACTAAGTATTTAATTAATTGGGGTATGAGAAATGCATACCTCAAATAAATATGTGTTATTTCCACAAAGGTCTTAACCAAATTTTAGGACTTCTCTCCATTTTCTAAAGTCACACTTTCAATTTAATTTACTCAGAGCCAAACTGGAAATAATCTACTTTAAAAATACAAAGTGACAATTTTTTTTAAAAGTAGTCACTGTCTATCTGAAAGAAATTTAGCTTGTGACTATACAGGGCTTTTACTAGGGCTTTTATTCTGATTTCAACACTTAAAAACAAATTGTTTTAAAAAGTAGGATAGCAAATCAAAACTGAATACATTTTCCTAGAAAATTCAAGTATGTGATCATAAGTGGATCCATACTAGTAGCATGAAACAAATAATTAAACAATTATAATGCCTATTCCATGATTCTAATCACATGGACCACCAGCATTGTGATTCAGCAAATATTGAGGCTGAAGTTGAAGCATGTAAAGAGTGTCCATTAGTGGGAGAAAGCAAATATATTAAGAATTTTTGTAAAAGATCAGTTGTTGGGTTCCTGCTTTCAAAATTTACCTTCAGGATTGTGATCCCCAACTAGGACCTTTTTATATCATCTAATGTCTGAACTTTAAATAAATCAAAAACATAAAATTGTATGCGTGCATTAGACTATCTTCTACTGTGAGACAAACATATCTACTTTTCTGAAAATTCTTGGCAGTGAAGAATAATGTATGTACATAATGTACATAATGATGGATGCCCTTTCAGATACTTCATTTGCAAATCTTGAATCCCAAGGAGTTTTTGTGTTCTCGACACCACCATCACTAAGAAGTTCTTTAAATTGGTGGTTTTGAGCCTTTGCACAGTCTGGAAACCAACCCATGTTTGAAAACCACCACTTTAGATTGCACAACAATGATCCGCCAAAAAGAATCCTTTAATTGTAGTTGGTTCACTACAAATTCTCTGCAGGCAGTGCCAAAGTCCTGCTTAAAATTTAAGTCAGACAAAAGTGCATCTTTTAAGGAAGAAATCACTTTAGAAGCCTGATTCCTGGAAGTAGTTTCCACAGGTTACTGTCAAGGAGAACAATATTCTTTGGAGAATCCTTATACTAAACCAGCATACCAAGACCACATCTACAAATACTAGATATAGCTCTTCCATGTGTTGATACCCCAGAAATCCCATAATCCTTCAGGGTCAGGGATCTTCAGAAAAATTCTAAAGCCAAAAAACAAAAATCATCTTTATAAACAACCTCCTAGCTGTGTTTACATTAGTGAAATAAGTTTTCAAAGGTCTGTGTCAGTCTACTCCTTTCACATCCTGACTTACCAAATATATTCTATCTTGCTGTTTAATTTACTTACCACTTACTTATTGCTAAATATAGTGTCAAAATTTAGCTCTCAGCAAATATGAGCTTCTGCCATAAAAACCACATCTGATAGGAAAATGACAGGCTTGGAGGGGTCAATCTATAGTGTGAGTATCTGTCTCCTCCCTGCATGGATTTAGCAGAAATAGTACATTTATGAGCATATATCCACAAAATAAATCCAGTGCTCTCTCACCATGTGTGTTTGGTAGTCAGACCACTTTCAAACCCTGGATGGCTGATGGCAGTGGACGAAAGAAGGAAAAACTGGGGACCAGGCTGTTTGGTGATCAGTTGCCATTTATTCCAATCTAGTCTTCCTCTGACTCCTTTAAGTCTCACTCACTGCCCATATTCTTTCCCCTACTGTCCTTCATGCTAGTCTCCCTAGGCCCTATCTTGCAGCCTTAGTCAAGAGCCCAACCTCCAAGGTTGGAGGTAGCTACACCCAGGTGAGATAGTGCAATCAACATAGGTAAAACCCTTCCTTCTGGGGAAGCTCTTCTAAGACAAAGATCTCCTCCAGCTAGGAGATCCACTCAAGGGCAGAATTTCATCTAAGGATATACTTCTTTCCTTAGTCCATAAACAATCATCTTAGATTTACTTCTTAATAATCTTTCTAGTCCTTTTGTATGGATACATTAGAGATATATTAAACTTATAGGGGGCTCTCCTGGGGACATCTCCAGTCTTCAGGCCAGATTAGTCCTTCTTAATCCCTGCAGGGTCCTTATTCAGTCACTTGCTTTTCTTTGGGTCATGAAAAAAATTTGTCCACGACCATGCTCTTAACTTATTATAAGTTTTATGTCACTTGGTCTTTCCTGTTTCGATGTCAGGGTAGCTTACAGCTTGCCATGGGTCCATCCAGTCGCTTCGTCAGGATCCTGCTTTTGGGGTACTAGAAACTAAGGGAAACTGAGAACTTAAATTGAGTAAATATGACAGATGCCCAGGAGTAAATATTATTCGGAGTCAATTAAGTCCAAAGTTACAAAAGCATAGTATTAACTGTCTTCCTGTATCTATACAAAAAGGACATTGCTCTAAAGTAAACTATGCAAAGGACATAAGGGGAAGAGAAAAGCAATATTTCACTTACAAATACAATTCCAGGGATCTCTGAAGAATTTGACTTTACAAGTCACAGGTAATGGTTAGGGGAAATGAGTGATTAACAGGTAGGGGAAGCAGAGAATGGAGAAGTTAAAGATGAATACTGAGGAAATAGGAGTGCTTCTGGAGTATTGTGATAGGTTTACTCAGTAAACCTAAGCTCCTTGAGCAAGGAGAAAGGACAAATCAATGTTATCTTACATGTGAGGAATTAGGGGATGTAGCTTCTTGTATGTGTTGACCCTAATTCTGGGTCCCCATATTCAAATGAACCATCATGTGCCTTGATTTATACATACAGTGACAATTACATCCAAGAGCTGTCAGTAGATTCCTTCCAAGTTGAAATGCACCTTTAAATTTTCTTTTCATTAAAGAGCTGCACAAATTGAAATTAACAAAGGAAAGCATTCAGCACAGTGAGGGAAACCCACTCCAAGCAGTGCCATGCTTACACATGCACATGCATGAGTAGTCCAGGGTCAGCTGGCACGAAGCAATTAGCACATCATGATGGAGCCACATGGCAAAACTGATGCTGATGAACAGATAGGAAGCCTCAAACTCATTCTACTGGTAAAATGTCATGATTCTTTCACTGAGTATTTCCAGCTTTTATTATAAATCTAAATGTGAAGTTAATTGGGAGGTTTTCTTTCACATCAAACAAATATAAACAAACTCCACATTATTACCCTAGGAGCCCACAAATTACAAATGGGCCAATACCAAGTTGGGAATTGGGTATTTATTTTAATACCAAAGATTTCCCAATATTATAGTTACATATGAAACAAGTGTACATAAACTGCATTTAATATGCTATGAAACATGTAATACATACAAGAAAGTACATTTGTAAAAGGTCTAGTAGTATACATGTATATCTGAGCTTCACAGTGATC